CCCGAAGACAACATCCCGCATGGCCGTTCCCTTAAGAGGTCAATCTTCTCGCGAGAGTACATCAATCGGTCCCGAAAAGTCCGATAACGACCCCATCGTAGTTTCCCACGTCCAGGGACTTCCGTTGACTTCCGGTCTTCCATTCCAGCAGCGTCCACCACCCCAAACTACCCCACCCTACACGCGTTACTCGTTTATCCGATTCCACGCTACCTGCAACCCTTCATAATTCCACTCTCGACCTAGCAACTCGACTCCCGTGCTCTTTAACCCGTCCCAACGTCCCAGCCACCCCTCTATCTCGTCGCGAGTAAAGACAACTCTAGTGTACCTCGTATCTAAGTCACATCGACGAATTTCTTCGACGCGGCATGACGCCTCGTTGATTAACGTGCCGTCCAACGACGTTTCGGAATCGATGAAAACAATCACGTTGAGACGAGCGAAGAGAGGGACGCTTAAGTAGCTCGCGGCCATTTATCAGCGGTCGCCGCGCGCTTTTATGCAATCACGCGTGGCGGGCCAACTCGGAAGGTGGTAGTTCGACACGAACGCCGGCAGCGCGGTGCATTAAATCAATCTACCTGGCCGTTTGTTCGACGATCCATCGTGCAACGGAGGAGGGATCGTTTTTCATTAGCGTTCGAACGGGCGTGTTTGATTCATACCCTGGGCAGGAGGGTGAAGCGTGGTAAAAAGCGTTGATTATCGCGGCGAGCCTCCTCTGCCTCTACCTTCGTCAGCAACCATACTCGCGATGGCAGATGGGAAGAGCCGTGTCGTTCGCTACGATCCAATGATAAGTGAGCTTCTTCGTTTACGCTTGCACGCTGATAAATCGCGATAAATCGCGCCACGATCCGCGGCGCACGCGATGCGACCTGGCGTCGAGTCGAATCGCTTTTCGCATTGCCGATGGCTCGAGAGAAGACGCCATTGCGGCGTCGTTCGCTGTAAATCGAGCTCCTTTATTACGAGGTATCCCAAGACGGCTACGCGTAATCGAGGTTGCAGTCCGAGGTCTGATCTTTTTGCGGAAACCGTGCACACCGATACTGCTAAACGGAAGAAACACGGGTGAATTCTACGTTTCCGATAATCTGGGCGCATCGTACGGAAACTAGATCATAAATCTGCACAGTTATACAACCGGTCTTATCCCGTTGGAATATCATCGCCACGCGAGAAACGACAAGGACGATATATTGCAGCCTTCAAAGCTGATATCGCTGTGAAACCGGCAGGTAAATATTGGGTGTCTCGTTCAACATACGGGATTCGCGAAAAAATCTCGTACGGCGAAGATCAATCGTTTCGCGCAGTTCTATATGCCTGTTTTCTGTGTGCCACTTTGCCATTGCTTATTTTTCCGATATGACACTCGCGCAATTTTCGTTCCACGCTGTTGTTTAAAACGCGCACGAAGCTAACGGAAGTATTCCCTTTAATGCTTCCCGTGCAATTGGTAATTAAAATGGAACTACCGGGAACAGGTATACATACTCGAATATAGTACGATTAATAGTTTTAATACTAATAAAAGCGGCATGACGGAAATACCTTTTATTCGCGATGAATTGATAAACTAAAATTTTGAGTGTGACAGATGAGCGATATTAAATATAGAATATGGAACGAGCCACGTGTAAATAGTTTAAAACCATTACGCGCATCGAACGGCTAAGCTAACGGAATGTTTAAACGGGCGAGAAAACATCGGGAAAATGTCAAGAATCGCGGGAAATACGACATTCAAAACGACACGGAAATAAATACGCATATATAATTACGTTTGCATCTGGACAGAGGGAAACGTTCGTTTGGCCGAATATCGTCGCGTTTCCGATAACTGCGAGAACAAAAAGGTCGAAACCCGTGGTTTTAACACGGTAATTCCGGTATGGAACGAGAGAAAAAGAAGAAACAGAAGAAATGGAAGAAACAGGAGGAAGAACCGAAGCGGGAGCTCGCGAGAAAACGTATGGAAAACGACAAACACGAGGACTAGGAGGACCCCGTAGGACGAGGTCGCGACTCGCCTCTAATACGCGGAACCACCAGCCGGGATCATAAATAAAGAAGTTATCTTAAGCGATACAACGCGTAGATGGAGCGGAACGCGTGGTCCGAGGCGTCCCGGGTGAAAGATTAGTCCGATCCTCGAGGAGGATCTAATCTGTCTACACGGGCCGCCTTTTAGCGAGGCCGGGGTATCCTCCTTTCTCCTCGATATTAATTTCTCGCGGCGGGAAAATGAATCTTATTCACACGGGAGCGCAAAGTAGCGTCCCGTGTTCTTCACCCTTCGCCGGCGAGGTCCGTTTTGAAAACGGCAAGGGGCCTAGCCTACTCGCGCGCCGCCACGTAATCGAATATCAATTTTTCTCCGACGATAAAGCGGCCTTTTGATCGACGAGATAAATCGTCGTATCCCCCGCGGGCCGAGACTGAAAAATGATTCTGTCCGTGGAACGTTTACAGCCACCGATGATCCGTGTGCCGCATCCTGAATCCATGCTTCTTTTCCAGTCCGTGCTAACGCGGATCACGGGATTCCCCCTTTATCAACGAGAAACCGATCGTCCATGATGCCCCCGCGCCTCTTTTCCTCTAACCCGTATCACGACTCGCTGTTAACCCTTTAAAAATTGCATCCGATCTGCCGCACTTGTCGAGAGACATCCAGCACGAAGAGGAATAAGAATTCGCGTGGATCTGGTAGAGCCAGAAACGCTCGAGCCGTGCAAAACTTCCAAACGTCGCCATTGTTACCATAAGGCAGATTCGTATGCAGACCCATCTCGTATGCAGGGCTCCATCGCCGGAGAACATACATTCTGCCACAGCCGCGATGTTTCTGACACGAGAGACGAGACAAACAAGGCCAGAAAGGCTCTAGAAAGGCGGAATTTACGTGTATCGAAGACAAGCCACTCGGAGCATCATCGATGGAGGCGCGCACGTCGCGTCGGTGTTCCTCGACGAGTGCGCTGACTCCTAAAAGAGACGCGTCATCGTCTGAAGAGCGAAATTTCAGCGGTGTGACGCTCATCCCGGGGTTCTTTGCGTCTCCGCGCAAATAATCCAAGGATGCTCGATAATCCACGACGCTTCGCGAATGAAAATCGACTGGGCGCTGTCGTCGCGACCTTTCGGACACCAAGATGGCGCCGCAACCTGGCGCGTTGCAGCGCCTACGTACCCTCTTCCCGGCAAGACTCGACTCGCCTAGCGACGAAACCGACGGAACAACCCGGTCGGCCGTATCGACGTTAAAACCCGGCAAGAAGTAGAGTTTCCTTAACCGGGCAGATCTGTTAAGGAAAGTCGATAACAGGAGCGACGGGTCATTAATCGAGCCGCGATCGATTCAATTACCAGGCCAGTTTTTGATCGCGGCCACGAAGGAAGTTGGCAAAGTGTGTGTCGACGCGCGGCGATTCAGGTCGCGTCGAGGCGGGAGACTAAGTTAATTACCAGAATTAATGTGGACCGACGGCGTTAATCCAGGCGCGGCACGCGAGCCAATCAAGCGGAGGGGTGGCGACGGAGGGGTAGATAAGAATTAAACGGTATCGAACGCAAACGCCTCGTTAGTCGCACCGCGTCGGGCATAAATTTCCAGGAGCGAGCCGATTCGTTCCGATGCGCCATCGAATACCGGTCTCACCGGTGTATTTCAGTCGCGATCTTGGTTATTCGTCGATATTATTGTCCACCCGATGGCCGGGCGCGTGACACGCATACGCTAGGCCCCTGAGCCACCTCTTTTTCCCCGGCGTCTCCGTACCTTGTGTCTTTGTTAGCTTTGGTACAGCCTTGTCCAGTCTCTCTCGGTTTTAGGTAGGAAAGACAAAGGCGAGCTTGCGAGAGAAATGGCGTATTTGGAATGCGTGTACCATAGTTATTTCTGATTAATCAATTTTTCGCACACGGAATTTTCTATGGAATCGCGCACATTTTTGTCGTCGTCGGATTAACGATTTAATCCATTGCCCGAGCAGTTCGTTTATCGGAAGCGCATACTAGGGAAAATTGGCAGTGACACGTTGTCTAGGCAATACGAGGCAAAGGCACTTGCGATTAGTATTGGCACTTCCGGTGTTATTAGCGAAACGAACGAAAATTATAGTCTCTTTTGGGAATGGAAAAACGCGAGTGAGGAAACGTGTATATGGATGATAATGGCGGCGATAAACAGGGACCGTGACGAGTTGTCTCCATGATCGTTCATTGTTAATGGTTTAATCAGCTATTATCCTTGTGGCTCGAGCGAAATCCGTAATGTAGGTAGCAGTATAGGCTTGGTCTTTGATCTTCGCGAGGATAGATTAAGTTTAATACGAACCACTGCTTCCAAGTCGATGGCGTTTGTCGCGATTAAACGATAGGAATAGTTAGAAAGGAGTATTACTAGGCAGATAATAACGGTGATCGGTTAATCGATCGCCGGTCTCGATCGCTATAATTTTCTGCCTTTTTTTCCCAGGGGCCAGCGCCACGGGTCCGCCGGCGAACGCCATAGGTGGTCGATTGGCTAATCATAATGATCGTAGGATGAATAATGACTTCCCAGTTTCAATAGGGAGCCCCTACCAAGTATTACGACTTGATCAATTTCCACGGGGAATTATAGTCTCCGAATATTTTGAAACTTCCTCGTTCGATCCCTTTAATGACCGCTTGTACGACTGCGAGTAAACGCCGAACTTCGTTTACGTAACTATAATGATCCCATTGTGGCCTAATTAACGATCCCAGAATTTTGCGCAAAGTGCAGAGAACGTGACCAATGAAACCACAGTGCACAGCCCTCTTTCGCTTTCTCTTCGACCAAGTATCGTTAATGAAGCATAATTCCGTTGCAACGTTATTCGAAATATCCCAGTTCGAGGATTTTTCATGTTCAAACAACGAGCGGAACAAGGAGAAATATGTAAGGTTAATAAACGGAAGAAGATTGCTAAGAGAAAACCACAAGGAATTTTCGAAATCTAGCCATGCCGACTAATAACAAGCCTGTAAGCACAACGTCACGATCGTAAAATCAATGAGCCAGGAATATCTTTGGCTCGGCGTACCAATCCTGAGCCGTACGAGTTCATTTTCTAGGGGCCCGAGGCGCCTATCGTTAACCTTTAATTACAGGGCGGTCTAGGCGTCTGAATTTATCGCTAATAACGCGCGGCGTGCGTTAGACTTGGCCTCGCGTGACATTTCTCCTGCAACCCTAATATCCCCTCATTCCGGCTACAACCGAATAAACGTCTGTCAAATTTCCAACCCCGAAAATCCAACGTTCGCGAATGAAAACGCGGCCTCGGTTATTTTTCTCTCGACCCCGTAATTTTTCGATTACATATGCGTAGTTCCACGATACACGGAATACCGGTGAAATATCAGCGGAGTCGAATAGGATGCAACGCGGGTTGCATAGGCGAGGGTGCGTGGCGCGGCAACAATGGCCGATGCAAGGATATGGATCCCTCTGATCTGCCGGAAAACTGAACGGCACGAAATTCGGAAGTGGACGTAGCACGGTGAAAAAAAGTGGCCTGCACTCGTAAAAGTTCCTCCTTGCTCTGGTAATACCAGAAAGTGGGTATCCGTTTTTGCCGGAAGTGCGGCTGCAATTAAATTGCACCGGCAGACCTGTCCGCCACGAGTGGCGACCCTTTGTTTCGACGACAGAACACCGGTCGCTACTTTTTCTTCCATTGCAGCGTGATCGATCGACGAACTCGCGGTTTCCGACCACCGAAACCTCGATATTTTCCAAGAATCGCGGTCAGTCTTGTTAAATGTTAAATTTAACCGCCGTTTCGCGGTGCGCGCGGATGTAAAAATTGACAAAGCCAGTGGATAAGGGTGAAATTGAATCGGGAACGTCGTCACGAGCACGGGAAACTCGTTTGCTCTTAAATCAGCGGGCCCCGATTCGAGTAATTGCGGTTGATTACGATTTCAGCGGGATTTTCGGGTACGTATTAATTCGTATTAATACGAATTTACGATTGTTGCAGATATATCTGTTGGGCCTGGTGGTGAGCGAGAACAGTACGATCGGGGAGTCGATCATAGAGGATGTTTCAGAGGTCTCGGAGGCCAACAACAACCTCGATACGGACTCGGGAGACCAGGTAATTTAATTACGAACGCTGTTCTCCTACACGGGCCTCGAAACCCTTCGTACTCGGACAGAGTTTCGAAGTTGGTTCTACCCCGTGGTGGAATTTGAACGAAATCGGACATCAATCTCGTTCGAGAGCTGGAACGTCCCTCTGAATACACGCGCGCGCATTCGACCGGCGTGTGCATTTCAGTCGTCTGCATGCCCGTACCTGTGGATTTGCGAAAGAATAAGGGAGAAGGGTGTCGTTGGAGCTGCAGGAAAAATAAACACCTTTATTCGTGCCAGCCAGCCGGAAATAGGTCGCGGAAACCGTTACACCCATGCTGAACCTCGGCAACGCGCTTCCTCTGCCTTTGCTAACATTTTATACTCCCTCTATTTTTTCTCTCCCTTTTTCTCCCTCCACCACGGACGAAACACACGGTGCACATCGGTGTAAAGTCTTTTACGCCTGGCGACGTCTCCTACTCCGCCTCCTCGTTGGCCTTTCGTGCTCTGTTTAGCCGGCAGTTCGTCAACGGAGGCTTCCGGCGTCTTGCTTGGCCTGCGCTAATCTCAAGACGACGTTAGAGGACGCACTCCTCTCGGCCTCCCTTTTTTCCGGGACGCAGTCGCGAAACGACGCGAGCAACCCGCTCGCGAATCGTTCGCGTGGACGTTCACCCTCGCGCGTTCTCGCCCTTCTCTAAATTTCTATACCCTTTTAAATTCCGCGTATATTCGCGTTTCGAGATAACTCGTTGTTAATGATTGCGTGATTATGCTTTTGCAATTTCATTTTTCCTTTGTCATTGAATTTGGGTGCCATTTTTTCCGCGATTAATCGCGCAAGTCGCCATCTTAGCAGCTCCATCGACGCGTCCATTTTTATCACGTATTTTCACGTGGACGTTCACCCTCGCGCGTTCTCGCTCTTCTCTAAATGTTTGTACTCTTTTAAATTCCGCGTATATTCGCATTTCGAGATAACTCGCTGTTAACCCTTTCGCGACGGGTGCCGTATATATACGGCAGTCATTTATTGGTTTACAGCGACTGATGCTGTCTGCATACGGCAAATCATAATTATATTAATACGTATTACTAATATGTAAACTTAATAATTATTAATACATATCCCTTTGCACTCGAGAGGCGCCCTACAGTCGCCATTTGATAAAATTTCGAAGCTGGATATTTATAAATATGTCAAATTTCAGATAATGTAACGGTGTGCGAGGTATCGAAATCAAATAATTCTACGTGTTAATTATCATACGATTTCTTATTCAATGCTCAGAAAAATATCGTCAGCTTTGCAACAGAAAATCTTTGAACTCCTATCCTTCTTTGGCCAAAAAATCGTTAAGTGCAAAGGGATATATATATAATATGTATTAGAAATGTATCTATTAATTTCAATAACGAACTCAAAATAAAACTGGTACATGCATTAGACAAAACAGAAAATGGTGGCGAAGTATGACAAGTCGCGCTGTCGCGAAAAATGGCGAAGTATGGTAGAGGTGCACCGTCGCGAGATGGTTAATGATCACGCGATTATGCTATTGTAATTTCTTTTATCACTTGACGTCGGATTCGGGCGCCATTTTTTCCGCGATTAATCGCGCAAGTCGCCATCTTAGTAATTCCATCGACGCGTTCATTTTTGTCACGTATTTTCGCGTGGACGTTCACCCTCGCGCGTTTCTAGCCTTCTCTAAATTCCTATACCCTTTTAAGTTCCGCGTATATTCGTGTTTCGAGATAACTCGCTGTTAATGATCGCGCGATTATGCTATTGTAATTTCTTTTTTCACTTGGCATCGGATTTGGCCGCCATTTTTTCCGCGATTAATCGCACAAGTCGCCATCTTCGCAGCTCCATCGACGCGTCGGTTTTTCTCACGTACTTTCGCGTAAACGTAGAAGAAGAACACTCGACCTGTCCGAGTAATTACTGTTTTTCCGAGGAGTCGCGAAGCGCCGTTGCGTTTTTGCACGACCGATCGCGAGACTCGTCGCGACGCCTCGCGCCGAACGCCTGGCGTCTTTTTGCGATCGGTTCGCCTCCTCGAGGAATTTCCACTTTCCTTGAGAGCTTCGGGAAATACACAACCAAGGTGGAGGAGGTGGCCTAGTTGCGAGTTCGCGGCAAAGCGAGACGCGAATTGCGCGATGCGCCGCAGTCGGTACACGTGTAACGTTTCTTCGTATTTCCTTCTTGGACACGAGACGCGGTTTGAATATCGGTCGGGCCGAACTTCCGTCGCGATCTCGCCAACTTCGTCGTAATTTCGCTGCCTTTATCGTAATCGCGTTATCTCTGCTGCGATTTCACCACCGCTAGCCCGATTTCGAGACCGTGAATTTAATTTCGCTAATCCCGCTGTAATTTCTCCGCCATTTCGAGACACTCGTCGGATTTTGGGACCCCGCTGACGAAATTTTCCGACCTGTCAGACAATTTCGATACCGCAAACGCGACTCCGCCGTTCCGAATTTAATTCTACCCTCCCGAGTGCAATCGATTCGCTCGGATACATCATTTCCGCGAACTTTCGCGAAATTTATCCGTCTTGGATGTAATTTTGATATCGTAAACACGAGTCGGCGGATTTAAATTTAATTTCGTCAAATCGAGCGCACTTTTGCGATCCGCCGGGGTAATTCGGTAATCTCGCTCGTAACTTCGTTACCGGCGCTGCGATTTCGCCAAGCTTAAATTCAGTTTCCGTACAGCGAACGTAATTTCCTCCTCAAAAGTGTATAATCGTGTCTGTCGGAGGTGCGATTCCGCGAACCTGTCCAATTCCGCGCGATCGAATCTAATTTCAATTAATTTCCAAAGTAACAGCGACCTCGTTACTCCGCTGCTGCGCGCTATCCGCGGGATCGTGTTAGTTCGGCTAAGAAAAAAGATTTTAATTCGGATGAACTTTGTTCATCTCAGCGTGCCCGTCTCTACCTCGGGTCCAGAAGGAACTCGATATCTTCCAAACTCCATATTTGATCCTTAAATAAACGCCGAGAGGGTAGGAGTTTCTAAAGAATATATCTCGTCGTTGCAACTTTGATAATATGCAAACCGCACGAAGGGCTTCGAGGACTCGCGAACTCGATAATCCCGGAAAAATGTTCGCGCCGTGTTTGCCAGCGTGTTCCCGCGAGCGTCCGTGAATGCATCGGCAAACACGAAAGTTAAACGCGTCCATCCTCGATCCCCGCGTCGAATGCGCGTAAATTAAGAGCGAACAGAATCCCTCTCTTCTGCCACCTCCTTTTCCCCTGTCGCGAAATTTCCAAGCATTTCCAAGCGTTTCCAAGCGTTTCCAAGCGTTTCCAAGCGTTTCCACGCGTAATCCCGCGTCTTCCCCGGAACCGGAAGGTAATAAAAACGTAATGGCGAAATTGCGAGGTTCAACTTGGCCGAGCTTCCATCGCGTTACATTTCCGCCGCGAGGTAGTCGACGAGAATTTTTCTTTCGAAGGGAAGCCTCGTCGATTACGACGTCGTCGCGGTGAAATAAAGAACGCGAGAATGGCGCGTCTCCGAACGCAGTCGCGGCGTCGCGACGCTCGAGGGAGCGCGCGCAGCGCAACGAATCTTGGCCCGAGAGTAATTAGCCTGGAAGTTATGCCACGGCGAGGCTAGCGAAGATGGATAATTAGAATCTTCGTAAACGCGGGTAATTCTTAGCCGGTGTCACGCGAAGAACGAGAGACCCCGCGACAAACGATCCTGTCCCGCGGTCGTTATCCCCCTGTCGTTAATTACGATTACAGCGGTAGCGCGTTAATTAAAAACACACTGGCGCGAAACAATTGCGGCGGAAACAGAGAGGTTACACTCGTGATCCGTATGTAGGTCGGCCCGACAATTTTCGCCCTTCCGACGGGCAAACTTTCGACCCCTCGAACGAGAGTCGTTGTTCCAGCAATTTTCGATTCGTTGGAAAAATGAATTAAAACTTCCCGGCCTCTATCCCGCTGCCCTCGCGTAAAGAGAAGCCTCTTCAAAAACTACCCCCGGAGATCGATTCGATCAGGCTTCGGGGTCATACGTTAATCGGGGTGAAAGGAGGAGAGTAGGAGAGAAGGTGAAGCGGAAAGGAGGATAAACGTGGAAACGTTGAGGAGTATAAACAGAGCTGGAAGAAATCGCAAAAATAAAAATCGTAGCTAGTCCAGTGGTTCGTTCGAAAATCATGACAGACTCTGTCGCCAGTGACGTAAACTTTACAAGGTTGTTCACCGCGATTAAAGGCCGGGGCGACCGGAAGTCGCGGCACGAGCCGTCGCTGTAGTCGTCGCGTTCTCGAAACGTGGCGTCGAGGAAAATACGCGACCGGTTTTATAGCCGTGGCACCCCTCGGGGTTGGTGCGCCCCTGACGCGCAACTTGCACCTCTTACCCGCGATTTTATTCCGCTCCCAGCGCGACCGGAAGTCCTCCGCGTCTCGCGTAAAACTCGCCCAACTGCCTGCCACTTGCTCGCGATTCGCCCTCGATCGCGTCGCGAATATTCCCATCGACCCCTCGCGGAAGAGAAACACGAACCTCGACTACGGTGTGTTTTACGGTGATCTTTTTATCGCTGATCGCTTGGTCCGTGTCGCGTGCTTTTTATCGATGTCGAGGGCATCGATGACGCGCTGCCTTTGAGATGGGAAACTGGATCATCCTCAGGTTTACGACAAGGACGCGTTAAAATGGGAGAAAAAATAAAATAGCGAAGGACGAGACGAAATAGGTGTACCGTAAAGGGGGTGAAGGAGACGCTCGTCGGGGTGCCCGCAAGCGTAGACTGGGTCGGAGAAATCCGAGGTTCAAGACCGGATCAACGAGGACGAATATCGGTTAGGCACTGCTCCGATTTCGGGATAACCTGTCGGGTTGTTTCAATGACCGAATCCGCGGCGGGCGAAAAAGACTAACAGCCGGAATGATGGATGGGAGCTGCATCCCCCGCAACGGGTCGGAACAGCGGATCGCGAGGAATTTAGAATGCTCGGGCTTAACGCGCGT